CTGGGAGGTAGTGATAACTAGACATCCACAGGCCACGTTATGCTGTTTATCAGACCAGCCCTTACGATTGCTATGTCAGGTCAGCTACAGCATCAGCCCATACTTCTGGTGGGTGCGTCGTCGTTCATTCTGCAGAATATCGAATCGTCCATCTGATCAACCAGGTATATTCCCCTACGATGATTCAACACGCTTGAATGCCAAAGATCATGGTTCGCGTTAAAGCCACCGATTACCATACGATTTTCACATCTGAGGAGCGCACCTATTTCAGGGAGATATCCTGCCGGGCAGCTGGTGACAGGGGGTACATAAAAATTTCGAGGTCGACATCGCCTGAGCAGATAGCAATACCCTGACATTCTAGGATGGTATCCCTGCAGTCGATGCCGGTCTCGATAAGACGATACAGCATGGTGCGATGCGTCGCTCGTAATCGCGACGGTTCACATTCAGGCCGATTTTGAACAGAAACTCCCTGGGAATTTTCTCTCTTTTCCCTTTCCTCCTATCATAAATAAAAATTCCCTGAGAGCTTTCTATATTAAATGGCGGAGCTGAGCTCTCAAAAATGTATCAAACAGCTTCTTCGAAGTTCGAATTTCTCCCTCCCAAGTTTTCGGGGAAAATTCTACTCGCTGGTAATTAATTATTGAAGGATTTCTTTTTCGGGAGAAACAAATTCCCGGAGAACAAACTCTCCGGGAGTATTAAGAATTGGGCTGATTGTATCCGGCGCAATTCAACAGTGTCTCTTACTAGGTTATGCCATAAACAAAAACTGAGAAGTATTTTTCATACAAACTTAGACAGTTGATGTTCGTTCGATACTCATTGATGGTGGCCGTATTAAAATGAAACAAATCAATGATATAGTGAATCAAATGTCAGAAATCAAGCGATATAACTTGTGTGAAATTTTTAACAATCAGCTGTTAGTTATTTTGCTAAGCACGTTGTACCATGCTTTCGAAGTTTAAGAAACCTTTTCCTCGGTTCGATAGATACTCTGAGAGCATTTTTCTTTAGCAACTTTAAGGTAGATAAATTTTAAAGGATACTTGAGAAAACGGCCCTTAGTAATTAATTTTCTAGGTTACAAGTTTCCAGACTAGCTATGGTTTTACGAGTTTTTAGTTTAAGGCCTAAATATTCATTTCAGACCCTTAGCGACGAACTACACTCAAAGTTATTTCAGGGTTTCAACGCTAAACAGCTGAAGAACATGCTATGGAGTCCTTCTCTATGAAATTCAAAAGCTAAAAGAAAACGAAGACTTTCTGTTGCTTTTTAAAATATTTGCCGTATTTATTAATGCAATCTTTATTTTTTTCATATCTGCATTTCATTTAAAGTTAATTATTGTATGTTATACGATATTTTGTTACGCTTATCTAAAAATAGTATATTTAAATCATTAAAAATCAAGCACAGACTTCAATAATTGTTTTTTTGTTTCTTTTAATCATAAAACCTATGATGAATTAAACAGCTTTACAAAAAAAAAACTGTTTCTGCATATTGAAGCAAGCCTCTATATCCCTATGTTATACGCCGGTTGAATGCGAATCCGAGGGCCGTTAGCATCCACTAAGTCAGGTTCGAGGTTATTTGAAGGTCAAGTAGGGCAAAAGTCTTGAATAAACCTGAAAATTCAATACAATTCTTCTGAATTTGAACTTGAGAGTGCCTTGGCATGACCTTTAGATGACCTTGAAGAACCAAGGGATTCAGCGACAACAAAAACCTATATATGTACATATATAAATTTTTATTTTTATTCCATAATTTTTTCCCTATTTGTCCGTCAAATGACGTCGAACCTGACAGCATGTAGGTTAACAGACCGCGGATTCGCATTCAGCGCGTCGAATAACATATATAGAGGTTTGGTTCAATGTGGAGAAATATTTTTTTTTTTTATTTGTAAACCTGTGTAATTTTTTAATATAATATTTATATACAGCATTATGAACTTTAATTTTATTTCGGTAGTAATTAGAATAGTACGAAGCAGTTAATTTGGCATTTAAAAAAAATATACACTGAAATTAAAGAATCTAAGAAAATCGTTGCTTTGCTCCTCATTTCTTCTTTCAAACTCTTAACTTAAAACAGATCTAGAACAAACTTCTATATGTTCATACAATGAACTTATGTATGTAATTTTGATATTTCCCTCCAAGTGGAGTACCGAATGGCTCTTTTTAATCGAAACAATAAAATACAAAAATTTAATAATCATACAATTCAAGATAAACATGCCACACGGGAGAATAATCCTGCCCTAACAATGACCCTAATACAGTACAATAGCTTTTCCACGAAAAGCAACCGCCCAAACCGTCAATCGAGGTATACTGTCAGTAGATAAGGTTGTGGTACCTCCGTTCCTCAATCACATTATCGCAGATTGTAGAAGCCAACAACTTATATATAAAGGGCCATAGCAAAGCCGTCCCATTAACGAGTGATGGAGCGGGATAATCAACGCAAGAAAACAAGTAAGAAAAGATCTACCCAGGGACCCAAAAGTGTAAACGACGAAATTGCAAAATCAAAGCTGGTAAAATTTATGGGATGGGTAGCTTCAAAAGCATTTTAAAATCAAAAGCTTACACCAAAAGTCTGTATGTAGAGATCAGTCTGCAGCGTAAATACCCTAACGAGTATCCGAGCAGTCAGATTGTAATTGAAAATTCTTTTCAAAATAATGAAATCCCCGCTGTTTTACGAGTGCGCGAAAGACGTAAGTAATACCTTCCTCAGAGCTCCGCGTCCCAAAGTCGTCAAAGATATTTATTCAGCTGACAGACTAAAAGCCTGATTATGGCAACTTAACTTAACTTAACGGAACGTAGAACTTAGAGTCAAAATGAAAGAGATTTCGACGTGGCATTAACTTACGTTAAGTTTCGGCTGTTCAATTATAAGCAACACCCATTTAACAGAATTTTTAAGAGAGAGCCGTAAGTTACTTTAAGTTGCCATAAAAAGACCATTAGTCTGAATACGCCACAACACCAATAAGGCCAGAGCTCATATTTGTTATGGGATCACATACTATCAGTCAAAAGCTTCTTCATGAGGAAAGAGTTAACAGAGAACTGCACTGAATCCAGACAACTCAACAGAGTTAGTCACGGAAGTTAAATTCTAAAAACAAAGAAATACTTTCATCAGATATCCTCACGATTCATGCCATTTTGCTAACGCATTTGGGAGAAAAAATAGCGAACATAAAACTGGCATTGGAACTAAAAAAAAGGTGTTTAGTATACAGCGGATCAAAGACTCGAAAAACTTATTATTTAATTATTTATAAAATAAAGTCAGACCTTTGGCAGTTATCCAATATTGTATACTAAGAACTCACCCCAATGAACTTCGCTAATTTTCGTTTTTGTGAGGAAGCTGATCAAATTTCCGAATATTTGCTTCTTGAATGCGATGCCGTATCGAAAGATGAGAGGAATATCTTGCCTATCAAGTGCAGCTCCGAAGTACACCGAAAAACTTAGTGGACTTAGTAATAACATATATTGGTATACAGACATTTTTAAGTGACCTAAGCGCAATTGCGAAGTTGGCGAGGTTCGTCAGTTTAAAAAGTAGTTAGTGTTCTGGATAATCACAATTGGTCCGTGTTGTTGTAGCAGCACCGCTAAGCTCCGTCTAGTTTGTCTAGAAAATGTGCTGATCGACGGGGTTGGGCCAAAAGGAGAGGGGTCTGAGTGCGCTCAAGTTGGCAAGCAAAGTGGTGGATTGTGTCGTGGGTGTAATTGCGATAAGACGAATACGTGTTTGGTATGTCGAGCTCGAGTCTGGATAGATATGAGTTCAGACGAGTGCAATATCCAGACCTTTCGACGCGCATAGTTATGCTGATTTTCCTTTAAGCTCAGCAGGCACTTTAGCATAAGCTACTGAGGAGTTTTCGTTAAGTCGATATTGTAAGAAATTGCGAGGTCACAACAGTTCTCTACGTCATATCTAATTTTTAATTATTCAGGCCGTTCAAAGGCCGCCTAAAATTTGCAGAGTTCCTCCGGGGTTTTACCAATTAGAATGCCATTAAAACAACGTTTCTCTAACGTTACAGGCTGTGTCAGCTGGGTACAGTTAATCGTATTGCTTTGGCATTGTCTGTACATTTTCTACCCAGGTGAGATTTGACCAGCTACAGCGCACAACAGTCGAATTAAGGCTCAGAACCAGATGGCGAATAATCAGCCTCATTGCGTAAGTCGTAAAATAGGCTAAATTGTACGACTCCACAACATTAGCATTGTCTATTGTGGTACTGAAATAAGTAAACGACCAAACTCGTCGAAAACTATACAGTGCTGCCAAGGTTTTTTCGTTTTAATACACTAGTCGAGTGGACATTTTAGGTAATAACGTGAAATTTTCGATACGACTCGACTCTCGAAAAACGACTTGCATTCGACACGACTCTCGCAATGAGGGCGATTGCCTCAAAAAAATGAATAAAAACATTTAATTGACTGTTGTATATTTTTAGGCCATAAAAACAGCTTTCACTTCAACGCGTTTCTCGTGCTCCGGAAACACTATTTTTTATAATATTTTTGATATAATAGATTAGTTAAGCGCAGTCTAATAGAAATTTGAAGCTATCTAAAATTTCACACAGTAGTAAATAAAGTCTTCTTATAAACTCAACAGTTTTTTTATGCAATAGTTTTTAAGAAAATTAATATGAACTATTTTTAAAGCCTTTTATTTTTATCAACTTTGACAATAAAGAAAATATTAAATAAAAACCTAGGGGGTATAAAAGCCTCAGGCAATGGATTTTAAAACCGGAGAGGAATAATTTACGCTTCGAAAAATATGCACCGAGTTTCTCTTTCGAATGCATCTAGTTCTGGTCGTTTTGACACTGCTTGTTATTTACAAACTTTTAGACAAAATGTTTTTAATTGAGCCAGTATACGACGAAAAAACTAGTTTCAGCGAATTTAAAATTTCAGTGCTGACGTTTTGCTGAAGTTTTAGTATTTATTTATTTATTTTTTTTTTTATACATTGCACACAAATTTGCGTTTCGATTAATGTTATAGAGCAAGAAAAGGCCTCACAAGTTAAATTTGCTTTTGCTTTCAGAATATGCAGACACAATGCATAGCTTATAAATGCGCGAACATACATCTAAAATCTTTGTATATATTTATTTTGACCATTTACAAATACACATAAAGGCAACAGATTTACAACAGCAGAGTAGTTTAGATAAAGATACGTATTCTTTTAATTTTTTTTTCGGAGCATAAAAACAATTTTTTTTTTAGTTTTAGTAGTGCTGGGACTATCCATATATATGGATATGCCTTCGTATATTCGTATAAAATTCGCATATACGTTGGGATCCGCCATTTTTTATTATCCGAATATATGGCTAATATCCGTTTTTTATGCTGTTCTTACGTACGCTTAATATCCGTTCATTTTGTTAATCGGATTCTTTAACCAGATATTCGAACATCCGGAAATTGAAAAAATACGGATAGAACTCCCAGCCCTAGTATTTAGAAGTGTTTAATATTAATCGTTTTTTATGCTGGCAGAAATTTGGCAATTATCTTTGCTTACGCTTTATTTAGCTTACTATGATGATTTATCATTGCAATAATATTGGCTGGACGTTGAATTTTATATTATACCTCGCGCTACATTTAAATAGGCACATTTAGTTCTACAAGCACCATATGTAGGATGCTCGCTCTTGAAAAAAAAAAATGTTGCCATTCCATTGAAGTAAGGTGTGTGCATTAAGCTTTAAGCGATTAGCAATCCTTATGGTAGTGGGTGTAGTCTATTTTTTAATCAGTTAATTTTTTTAAATCATTTAAACTTTATTTTTATTTATTGGAGCTTTGCTTCTGAAAGTTTATTTTACAGTGAGCTCTCAACATATTTGCAGTAATATTTTATTTAGAGATGTTCCCTTAATCTTAAAGAACCCTCGAAGGTCTCAAAAGTTTGGATGAGCCGTCAGAACATGGATGAAAATCTTCCAAGTTCCGAGTTTAAGAGTCACCTATTTAATAACTTCTGTATCCATTTTTGTTTAAGCTTTTGGATATTTGTACAGTTCTGTATGACGATTCCTTATAAACTTTTGAACTTTTAGATTGTTTAAACTTTTATAGAATGCCAGTTATTTTGCCTACTGACATATTTTTGTTTTTAGTAGAATCGTGTGAAAAGGACTGTGTTAGAACAAATTTCATGACAAATATGCGACCATTTTGACGAGTGTCCAAATCGAACCATATTTAAAAGCAACCACAGCGGTCACCCCAGCAACACTCCGAATAATTTCGGAGATTTTTATATTTAAATCAAGCGCTGTAAGCTTATGAATGTCATAATACAAGAGCTTATGATTTCTTGTCTATCGAACGTTTTCTAAAGTTTTTGAAGTACACTTTCATGCATATTCCATCGGATAAGGTAATATGCATAACAATGCCTCTAGTACCATTACCTCATGCAGCCAACCTGCAATTTCCAGATTTCCTATGCCGCTTGTAAAAGACGTGCTAAGTCTCAGAGGCCTATTGCTGTATAGTTTTTCTTTTTATTTCATTTATTTCACTCATAATCAGCAATTGTTTTCGCTACAAAAAAATAAGAAAAATATCGATCAAAAAATAAAAATATATTTTTTCTTAAGTACTTTTCAAAACAGCGCTTGATTTTCATACCTTTTTTGCAAATCAAGATACAAGTATTCGTTGAGAGTTCGGTTTAAAATTTTATAGCCTAAACACTAAAAAATAGTCGTAAATTAAACGTTTGCTCTTATTTTAAAGTTTCAAATTTTAAGTATACTTCAATCGGCGCGTCCGAAATAAGACATCGTAAATAAAAAGGGTTTATCATTTTATGCTATAATTTAATATTTTTTGCTCAGCAATTTCGTCGAAAATTAGGAGCGCATGCTAGACGATAAGGAGCCGAAACAGAGTTTGGTTTTTGATAGCAAATTTGTTCATTAAACTTTTTCTTAAAATACAAATCATATAAAAAAAACTTTCATTTCAGTTAAAGTTTTGCCTTCAGGTCAACCCATTCCTAACACTGAAAAGCCAAGCTGAGCGCATTCCGCAACTCATTCAACACCATCGAGCCAATCACCATTTTCTCACAGTTCACCATCAAAGCCAACTGCTCGCCATGTGATGTCTGCCAGTCCAAAGTAATTAACACCAGACTTCTCGAGTTCATAGTTTGGCCCGCAAAGTAAAGCAGCTCATTATTGCCCTCACTCGTCGCAATAGGCGCCACATTAATGCATTCGAATATGCGTTTCTTCAATGCTGCCACATCGACTGCATCCCGTCGCAGCTGCAAGCGACTCTGATGTTCATTCATGCCACGCAATTTGGTGCGCTCTTCCTTGAAGTATGACTCGCCAATTTGCACTGAGCGCACTAGCTCACCGACCGGTGGCTTGAGTGTGACACGTGACTTGCCGGCGCTACTGGTGATTTCCAACTCAACGGCATGTATGGAGTCATTGAAGTCTATGCCGAGCACACTAGTGCCCATTTGTTGCGGTTGCAAGCACTGCAGAGGTGCAAACTCATTGAGATTCATGCCAGCTGGCAGCGTTTGTTGGCTAAGATGAATATTGGTTATTTCAGTGCTAGAGAGATTAATAAATTGCAGTTCGATGGAGACCATGGCGGAAGAATATAAATGTGGCCCGCGTGTAAAGCGGTAGCTCACTTGAAGTCCGTGTCCAGAGAGTTTATTAAGCAGTTCGCGATGCTTGAATTCGATGTGTGAGGGGCCGACGAGTTCGATGCGGTTGGCAGCGCTGACGGGTAGCAGGCCAACAGCGCCGCCTAAGGGTGTAGCTGTTGCAGAAAATCGAATTAATAAAACTTATTTGAAAAATTAAGTATGTTCAACATACCAGGCGTTAGGAAACCGCCGAGCGATGGTGTCATTACCGGTCCAACAGGCGGTATGTCGTCCAAGTCTAGCAGCAGATCCAGGTTGCTTTTCACCGGTGCTGCTGCTGCTGCGGCCGCTTCGTCCCCAACCGCATTCTTTTCCTTCTCTTTAGCTTTCGTTTCCTTGGCCTTCTCTTTGACACGCTGAAATTTGCGTTGCTTTTCGCTCTCCGTCTCCGACTCGGAACTTTCTGAACCATCTTCAGATTCCGAGCCACTACCTGTGCTGCTTTCAGATGAGCCATACGATGAAGATTCGCTATCGGAAGTACCCGAGTCATTATCGCCGTTATTGTTGACATTCAGGTGCACATTATTATTGCCATTGCTGGCTGTCTTATTTACCAGTACAGTGGTAGTATCAGACTTGGGCTCACTACCTGTTGACTGTATTTTGGGCTTTGCAGCAGCCACATCATTCACTTGCCCCTTTTCTGATTCAGAGGATTCACCATCACTCGATGATGAGGACGAAGAGCTACTGCTGGAGCCAGACTCCGAGTAAGCGGAAGACTTTTCCGACTCCGATAAGAAATTCTTGTCATTAGTTGTATGCGCGCTCTTATCGCCTTGCTTCTGTGGCGTACGTGTGGCTACACCGCTTGCTGCCGCGCCGCTGGTGCTTGCAGTGGCAGCAGTGGTCTCGTGCATATAGCCTTCGATGTTACGCACAGAAGTATCGGTCGCCTCAGTGGGGAATGGCGGCAAATCTTTATAGCCTGTGGCGCGCATATTCAAATAATGGGAAAGCGAGCCGAGTTGGAAATGATCGCGCTCGCAATACTTGCTCTCCAGCGCTGGCTTAGGTTTCGCGGAGAGAAAAATCTTGCGCGCATTTTCCGAGAGTACGGTGGTTTTCCCATTGGATGGGAAAATGAATTGACGCAAAAAGCGTGCGCGATCGCGCACATCGTAGTTGGAATCGTAGCGAGCTAAAGTGAATACATACTGGCTGAGTAGCGAAGTCTGTTCAGGATTAGTGAGGAAAAGCTTTACGCCGAGATTGAGAATTTGCAGCTTGACGACATCCTCCTGCAGGAAATAAAAGAAAAATGGAATTATGTATTAGTACAATAACTTTTAACAGCTGTCTGCCATGACGCACCTCATCCACAAAGGTTTTGGACATTTTGCGCAGCACATCGGGCGCTATCTTCGGCACTTTTTCATTGTATTCACCAATGAGCCATAAAATTGAAGCGCGTGCCGCTGGTATGGTTATATAATCAATCAACTTTGCCATCTGTGAGATGATTTCGTAGTGCTCGGCGGACTTGGACTGCAGTAAATTCTTTATTACTACCACACTCTCTGCGACGACGTGTTCTACAATTAAAAATTAATAAATATTCATTGATTACTTTGTGTAGAATGTAAAAATTTAAAATTTCTCACCATCACGATTTGATAGCAAGTGTACCAACCCGCCGAGACAAGTTTCGGTCACTTCCTTTATGGAGGCAGCACAACGTCCAATCGCCTGTATTGTGGCTGCCACGAACGACCGATCGCTACTGGAAATGTATGTTTGGAATTCTCGTAAAATCAGCGCAATAGTTGACCCTGATGCAAGATTCGTTAGTATATCCAGTTTAAGTAGCTTGATGTGCGTGGGATCGCTAGTGCGTACAAAAAACGACTTGATGTGTGGCTCGAAAATGGCTTTGCGTTTGGTCGACATCGATGCAATGCATGTGAGCACAACACTTTGTACCTCCTTATGCGAGCGCAGCAAGCGTATTAGCGCTTTAGCTATTACTTGCACTTCGTTGCGCGGCGCCACGTGATGATATAGCTGTGCCACAGCCATGACCACCGAAGCGTTGCGCGACTGCAACAACGGCTTTGTTTGACGCAAGAGCAGACGATGGTCTAAATCCACATGATACGATGAGGATGATGAAAATGTGCGCTCTTTCGTTGCGTCAGACTTGTTTTTTCGTTTGTTTTTCTGCCGTTTTTCTTTACCACTGCCTTCGGAGGAGTCACCACTTGACGATTCTTCGTAGAAATTTTCCCCAGCGGCGCCACCATCTTGGTTCTGCTTACCATTGTCGTCGACTGGCTCGTCAACGTTCGGATCGACGAATTGGGTGCGAGCGTAGCGTGTCAACATATTGATAATTATAACCTGACCCCATTCATCAACATCAACCAGCAGGTTACAGAGCTTACGGTAATTTTTGTGTATTAGATCCACACGCTCCGGGCAGACCTGGAAATGTGGAAATATGGAAAATGAAAATTGAGGTTGAATTCCGAATTGTAAATGTTTTAGAATTTAAGTTATAAACCTAACTTTTTCTAATAACAGTCAATAAAAATGCGTGCATACATATGTATGTATAAAATAAGAAATAAGTAAAACCAAATTCACTTTATTACAAGCTTTCAAGTTTCACCTGCAAGTAATCAAATCTTGCAATAAATTTTAAACCAACTTCTCGATGATCTAGAGACAACTTAAAACTTAGCTTCTAACGCGATGAAGATTCAATATAAAAGATGAATTAAATTGATAGGTGGGGAAGATGTAAAGATAAATGGAAAATCCGTATTTATGGTTCAATTTGTTTTAAATTTAAAACTTTTATATTACTTAAGTTGAAAGAAATATCTCCACAAATTTAGCGATTAGGTGGTACGGATTTTGATTTTTCTTTTCTTTTTTAATTACAATTAATAAAAGCTTGTCTTATTTTTTTTTATTTTAATTACATGCTTTTTAAATCATCACAAAATGAACTCAAGATAAGATTTATGGTTGATCAAGCTAAAATAAAGTTAACAAATGTATTTGGCTTAAAAAGATATTAAAACAAAATTAATTTAAAAATAATATCTACCTTAATAAAACATTCTCAATACAAATAAAGGCAGAGACCCAGAATAATAATGATTTCATGGTGGAGTTTTAAAAAAGTCATCCAAATTTTCGTAAGAATTATAAAAGTCTTTGGATAATAATTATGTGTGAAAAAAAATTTTTAAGTCATCGATAACTATTATTTTAAGACTTATATAATAAAAGTGTTGTCATAATAATTATCATTGATATAAATAAATATTAAGTCTTATTTTGAGACTTACATTTGTTATAAAAGTTATAGCTTCAAAGACTTTCTTATATTATAAAAGTCTTTTGATAATAATTACGAGTGGTAAAAATTTTTGTATATTGTCCTGTACGGGTCCCAAACCAAAATAGTGTATATAAAAAAAATATGCAAAGTAACTACCCAGCCCAAGGACGGCAATTTTAGCAGTATTCGAACCAACTCACCTCATCAAACGCCATTACCGCAGAACCAACCACGAGCGTTGTGCGATCGGACAGTAACTTTTCAATAACCGTCACTAATTCATCTTTCTGCTCTGGATCCAGCGAGTACAATTTCGGTATGGCATGTGCCGCTGTCTTACGTACATATGGACTCATATCCATAGCGCTGTCACGTATAGCTAACATAACAATGGGTACAATCATGCTGACACGTATGGACGAAAGTACACGCAAAGCTGAGGCACGTATCAATTGGTTTGGATCTTTTAATGCGCGTTGGAATGTTGATATTGAGAGCAAGGCCAAGTCTTGCTGCTCTTCAGCATAGCGCACTAAATATACGTACACCAATTTTTTGACTTCAATATTTTTGGAAACCACATTTTTCACAACAGCTGGAAATAAATCGCTTGCATCACGACCACGCGCTATCATGCCGATGATGCGTTTCATGGCTTCTAACTTCAGTCCGTCTTTATTGCTGTCCAACATCTGTTTGAGATCATCATGTTTACGTCCTTCACTTTGAAAGAATGCGCCGCTCGCAGGATCAGCACCGAATTCAACATCTAAGCCCATTTGTGGGCTGGATGAAGAGGATGAATAGGCGGCAAATGGGCTGCTGCCGGAGGCGCTGGATTGTTGTTGCATGGTATTGATACTACTGCTGTTTCGGCTGTTGTATACGCTTCCGAACAGACCAACTGGTGAGGCGGAAGAGATCATTCACAGCGCTCTGACAATGGAGAAATGCTGTATAAACTGAAAAAAATGTGCCTCAATGAGTTTGCTTTGTTCTCAGCTTTGGTTGCTCTGCCTCAGGAGTTCAGTTGTTTGTGTGCTTACGATTTACCAATCTGTTTGGGGGCGTATGGCGATAGTAGCAAAAAGTTGGGAAAACTGAGTTTTTGTTGAACCGGCGTCAGTATTATTTTAGGATTTAAGTTACGGGCGCGAACAAGAACACTTTCTACCATTTACTTTTAATTTTGCAGTTAATCTGCCTGAAAAACTAAATATTTTTCAAAGAATTCACACTTTCGCACTTTTCCTTCGCTGCAAATTTGATGACGTTTCCTGGCTGCTGTCATCTCTAGAGAAAGTTTAAGTGTTGTATAGCGAAGTGCATTTTGGGTGGCAAAATGAATCAAACTTTTACAAAATTTTCGGAAAACTTCGAAAAAGCTTAAAACTAATTAAATTAAAGGAACAAATGCAAAATACCTATAAATCTCATCATTGAGCAGAAAATAACGGTTTATTTTTTGGAATGGGTTTTTGAAAAATTTTGATTTAAAAAATGCTTAAATTGAACTTTTTCCGTTAATACCTTTTGTAGTTGTTGTTTTCCCCCCAAGAAAAGATACCTAAGCTCACCTCAATGATCTCTATCAATCCTCGTATACATTTTTTTTATTTCGAGAATTCCAGCTATTCTGCATTTATGTGCTTAGGATTCCTATTTGCACTTCACAAAGTCGGCAAATTAAGAATTTTTCAGAACTAAGCTCTACCGGTTTCATTATATCCACAGATGTTGACATTACTAATACCGAGTACATTTTATACACTAGATTGTTTTTCTTTTTTGTTGTGCGGTGCGAAAATTTGTTGTTTACCTGGCAGGAAAATTAAGGTTAAGCGGAAAATTGCCTAAATTGAAAAAATTAAGCCGCAACAATATTCACTCGCAACAGAAAGCAATAAAATAGCAATTTGACCAACCACCGACTCATAATGAGCTTCCCACTGACGAATCCCAACAAGGAGACGATCCGCGCAGCATGCAAGAAATGTGGATATGCAGGGCATTTAACCTACCAGTGCCGCAACTTTTTAAAGGTATATATCCTACAGTATTATTAAAAACATAATAAAAAATCAACAGGAAAATTTAATTTCCACTTTCCGCAGGTTGACCCCAATAAGGAAATTGTGCTTGACGTGTCCAGCACTAGCTCCGATTCCGAGCTGGACTATCTAACACCATTGACTGAGTTGCGCATGAAGGAATTAAAGGAGAAAGAAGCCGAACTACAAAAAACCAAAAGCGAAAAAAGTCACAAAAAATCCAAGTCCAAGAAAAAGTCAAAGAAATCGTCATCTTCCAGAAAACGTAAAAGGAATAAAAGTCGCGGTAAAAGTAAGAAACATAAAAAACACAAAGAATCCTCAGCTTCAAGTGAAAGTAGTAGTAGCAGCAGCAGTAGTAGTAGTACAGACTCCAGTACCGAAGACTCGGACACCGAATCAGATTCCAGCGACAATGAAGAATCGCCCACTAGCAGTGACGACGATGAGTATGGCCGCAAGAAAAACAAGCAGGGAAAGTACAAGCGTAAAGCTGAAACACCTGCTATGCGGCGTAAAAAGTCGCGTGTGAAGCGCAAGAAGCATCGTGCTTCAGCGCGGCCTTCCAGCAGTGATGAAGATGAGACAAGCTCCGATTAAAATGGGTTGTGTGACATTGTAAGATAATGAGATTAACTGGCTTGATTTTAAGGATACGCAAGCAACATTACATGGCTGATTTCCTGCTCCACAATCAGTTCATACATATATAATAAATTGTTGGAATATAAACATATGTAACATATAAAGCTAATTTTATTTCTTAAGCCATTTGAAGGCGATAAATGATTCTAAAACTGCTGTGTGACTTTACGTATTAATTAGTTAAAGTGCCAAAAATAGTTAACCATCTCACTCAAGCTCGAACCTTGTAGGTATGTAGCTAATATGTAGAACAACCACTGCCCACTACACATAATAGCCGATTTATGTCCTCAAACAAATTAAAAAAAAAATAGTTATGACTAAGAATTTTATTTTGGCTTTGCGTAGATTGTATGCAAGCAAACAAATGTATGCATAATATACATTGCATACCTATGCGCGCATGTTTCATTAATTGTATGATTAGTTAAATTATATTTCTCAGTGGAAAAATAGAGCATTTATGTATGTATTTAACGTAATATTATTAAAGGTATACATACATACAAACTAGATTGCTGCAAAGGCTTGGTTTGTACACATTTGGTTGATCTTATTGAAAGGAAAAATAAATTAACTATGCTACAAATAATAATGAAAATTATTACTGAAAGGCTTAGTTTGTGATTCTTTTTCGTACAACCTCATAAATGATTATTGTCCCCAATATTCGCTGTGGAAGCAATCCATTTAAAAATATAGCTCCATAGATTTACCACAGTACCGACTGATATGTTTAAAACAAAATCAATTTATATTATTTACGTATAAATTTTATTATAACATAATTTGGATAATTTGTAGGGCATATAAAGCTATTGGAATATTGTTATATTAACCGCTTTACTCATACAATAATAACCACAAGCATTCAACGCGTACACATTGGGTAACAATCACTTTTGCTTCAACTCGTCCATTGCCTTGAGCGTTTCCTCGCGTATGGTTTTGCCCACTATTGCTATAACGGCATTCTTCTGAACTGGCACAATATTATCCAATTTAGTTGCTAAGCTAGCATACAAATTGTTCATTGTCTTCTTCAATACTGTTTCAATTTGTTGTTGAACGGATAGTCTATCTTCATGTGACTCATCTGCCTCCTCATTGAGGCTCCCCGCCTTCTTACTATTTTCTTCCAGTGTTTGTTGCAATTTAGTATTTTGTTCTTCCAAATCGCGTACTTTTGCGTTGACTTGCGCTTCCTTTAGCTTACTCTCCTCATACTGTTGTCTTTGTGCAAGGCACTCTTGGTTTGCTTCAGCCAGTTGGTGCCGCAAATCCTTTTCTATTTTCTCTTTGTCTGCCAAGCGTTTTTGAAGTGAGTCTAAATCCTCTTCCTGTTGGGTTCCTTTATGCTTGTTTTCCTCGTACTGTTGCTTCTGCTCTAAACATTCTTTATTCGATTCAGCGAGTTGATGGCGTAAATCACTTTCTATTTTTTCCTTATCTATCAAGCGATTTTCCAGCGATTTTACGTCTTCTTCCAGCTGTGACTTCTTCGCTATCGTTTTTGCCAACATATCTTCTTCATCGTCCATACGGGACTGATTCGTCTTTAATTGCACATTTTTTTCTGCCAGATCCCTTTCCCATTCTTCTAATTTGTTATACATGGCTGCGCGTTGCTTCAACAAATCGCCTACTAGCCTCTCCAGGCTATCGACATTGGCTAGGTTTACATCCGCCAGCTCAGCGCTAAAGGTCTGCAATATTTGTTCACAATTTGGTTTACTTTCATACTTCCCCTCGATTGTCTGCCGTAGCTTCCGATTTTCTTTCTTCAGTTCCAAAACTTTTTCTTCAAGTGCTAACATTTCATCTTCTTTATCCATTTTATCGCCAGAACTGGAATGTAGCAAGTCGATTTTATCAATTATTTTCTCTACTTTGCTCTCCAATCTGTTGACGTTCATTCGCAGTTCGGAGCTATGGGTACGATTTTCGGAGAGCATCATTTGCACGAATTGTGTCTCGAAAGCACCACTAACCGCTCCACTAGGATATGGATTTATTTGGCTCAAGGACAGCGGTTGTGTCTTTGCCAACGCTCTACTGCAGTTACGCGGCGTTGGTTGGTGTTTGAGTTGTGGCGTTGCTAATGGCGTGGATATTATCTCGGCATCCGAAGAGTCGGTGGCATCTAAACTGTTTTGCAAATTTGCTGCTGGTGACAATTTCGGTAGCTGCTGACCCATTTTGGCCATGCGGCATATTAACGCCGTTTTGGTGGGTTTAGATGTTACTATAGGAGGCTTTTCTATATCCTTAAAGCACATTGGATTAGTAGCCGCAATCGAAACACTGTTCTCTGGAGCTTTTTCTAACTCTGAAATAGCATATTTTCCCCCTTTTTGCTCACCTTCGCTAACTACAATATTCAGTTCAATTAATTTTGCTACAAACTCCTCAGTGTTGGCATCTGCATCGAAGTAAACACTCCAACAGAGTAAGTCATCGTCGTAGAATTGCAAATAGTTGTGGCTGCGATGAACTTGCGCCATGTCAGCGCGCAACGAACAAGTGGTCAGCACATTTAATTTGGCTTTGTAGATGATTATTCGATATTCATTTTCCACGCTTTGCAACAGCGCTACGCCCGCTTTGCCTACAGGCACTCCTTCTTTATAAGCATAAGCGACCTTTGCCAGCAGCGTTTGCCAGGCTTGCACTGTTGCGCCTGAGCTGGCCGTGATAGTTCGATTTGTAGTGGGGGCATTACTCGATGTTTGTTTAGTGGGTTGGTACTTGAGAGACTCCTGTTGCTCACCTCCTACACTACGTTGGTTTTCGAATGCAAAAAGATTTTCCAAATCGGTGTTTAGCCTACCAAAAAAGAAAAAACAAGGACCACATTTTTGGCATACAGAAACTAGCAAAACTTTACCGACTTACCGTGTTAATGATCCAAAAAAATCTTCATCGCTTTTAGAGTCTAAGCTGAAGTCCATCTTAAAGCATAATTTAATACTATGAAATTTTAAATATACAATGGAAATGTACAAATATAATACGGGGAAAAGAAAATTTTCCAAACGAAAGTGATATGAAAATTCTTATCTGTCTAATTTATAAACAAATGAACAGCTGTTTTAACAGCTGTTAGCAAACGCGCGTGGTGCTGCCAAAGCTGAAAAAAATTGATTCCATTCTTTTAGCTCTGTTCGATAAAACTTTCGAGTTAAATTAAAAAAGTTTGAGCACGTTATTAATGCAGATCACGATATAGCGAACAAATGTGGGGCATTCCGCAAGCCGCTCCTTTGGTATTGCTGATTTTGACTATTTTCAACAAAAAGTAAGCAACGCCTCAGAAACATTAAATCCCATTCCCACGACAGCCGGTTCTACGTACCGGAATGACTCGGGTTTCACCCGACCAAGGGCTGTTGTTTCGGCGATCTAACCCCGTTTAGGTCGGCGAAGTATCTCAGAAGTTGTCCGTCCATAGGGCAACATTCACTACGCATTCTCCTACTCAGGGCTGGCATCGAGTCAAACCCTGGGCCAGAAATATACACCTGCTGTGTATGCCGAAGACGNGTTATGTAGACTCTAGACCTGTGAATGCCGTTCTAGGCACACCACCCCCGGACATTGACGAGACGGAGCTTCATCTGCCTCGGGAGACGCGCACCACACTTGCACAACTTCGCTCCGGCTACTGCAGCAGGTTAAACTCCTACCTGAGTAGGCTGAATGAGGATGTGCCTAATGAATGTCCGGCATGCGGAGAGACCCCACATGACTCGAAACATCTCTTCGCATGCCCGGCAAACCCGACATCCCTAACGACCTTGTCCCTATGGGCAAACCCCGCAGAAGCTGCACGCTTCCTAGGGTTGCCGTTAGTGGAACTTGACGACAACGACTGAGATACCAACCGATCTGGGCGGGGTTGTTGTAGCCGCTACAACAACAACAACAAACATTAAATCCGCTGAAATTGAGAAATTTCATCGTCTTCGGGGATGCGAAATCTTGTATTCTATCATTCTTGAATGCAGTTCGAACAGAGATTCGATAGTTAGCCGGATTTATTTTTTGAAAATGCCTGTATGTATATCCGTGGATACTTGCACTTACATAAAAACTACTCACCAGTTGAAACAAGAGCGTTTGGTGTCCACTAACACCCGTCTCTCTTTGGTCCAACCCCGTTGAAACAGAACGTTTCCTGAGTCTACCGTAAGTCAAGCTTGACGAAAACGACTGAAGGAGACTATTTCACTCTGAGCACAACAGCATTTGAACGAGTAAAACCTAGATGTAAACCATCCATTAGAATTTCAGAATGGGCATGCTAAGGGCAGTCTCGAGTCGTGGCGTGACTCTCCGCACGCCGGGAAATGGTTGGACTCTTCTGCGTTTAATCTGCTCAGGTACGAGTTTTGCCTGCTGCAATATACATAGCGAAGTTGGGCTATGGTGGCGCGAGTCTCCCGAAAAAGACAAAGCTCTATCCCGTCCATGTCCGGTAGTTGTGTACCGAAAACGTCATTCACAGGTCGGGAGGCCATGCTGGTCGATATCGACTGCATGCGAATGCCGTTTATAGCCTGTCGGTATGCTGTCGGGACCAGAGGTTATTCTATGAACCTTCGTTCGTTAGTTCGCATATATGCCCCCTGACGTGCCTTCGCGAGAGCTCTGCTGAAAGCATGTGTCTGATCGGATGCCCGCGTCTGTGACACCATACTTGGAACTGCTTCCAGAGCATTTGGTTCGCTCCTTGATGGGGAGCATCTGAGCCTTGCCGTGTAGATGGTGCAATGGCATCCGGTCGCGGTCCGGAGTGCCGTGTTATGGCAGGTCTGTAGCTTCGTCCACTGTACGTGCTAGTCCTCAGCGACCACATGGGCGCTGCATAGTTTAGAACCGGCCGGCCAATTGCCTTGTACTTTGCCAATAACGTTTCTTTGTCTTTGCCCCAGGTGCTTCCGGCTAGCGACTTGAGGACCTTGTTACGGCTCTTTAGCCTTTCGACAATAGCGGTTGTATACGCCGCGAAAGAGAGTAGACTGTCGAAGGTGACTACGAGAAGTTTTGGGTTATTCATCATCGGAATTGGTTCGCCATCGACGTGGCAGCAAGTGGTCGCGTTGTCTTTAGTCGCAGCACTGGGCACAAATTACAGATACGAAACTAATTCGTAGATCGAAGAATTCGGTTTAGATTTTTCGAAGAGCTGAGCAATATTAGCCCATTGATAACTTACTGGATTCACCAAAGGGTCGGAATAGCCTTAGAAAATATGGCAAATTTTGAGCATATTATTTTGGGTGCCACGGCAGGTCCCTATGTGTCGTGTGTTTGTTATATGACCAGCAGTAAGGTCTGCATGCTTCCAATTAAGGACTTATATTATGGATCTTAGCCGTTGCACTTACGACAAGCTTTAAGTCATGCGGCGTGAAATTTTCAAAGCTTTCTTTAAATTTTATATTAACGCATAGGGAGTTAAAGCTCTCTCAGATCGGAGCTGCCTTATATGACAATGATAGACAATAAACACCTTACTCAGCTTTCGCCCTGCATTATGATTGCCGTAATCTGTAAAGCTGTAAAGCTTGTTGTGGAGTTGTACTCTAATCCTTGGTTCGCAAAAGATGAGAGAACAAATTTCAATACCCTACGAGAAAGTTCCGAAAACATTTACGTCACCAAAAAGCTTCTCAGAAAAAACCATGCTCCATTATTTATTTATGAGAAAAATCCGGCTACGACTACGATTTAATGCCATTCCAGGGAATCGATGGCAAACAAACTTATGACATCTTAGCCCGACAATATGAAACAGCGTTGCATGAAATCGTGTTACATATTGGGAAATCCTTAATGGTACAGGAGTATATGTACACTGGTAGTGATCCGGGATATCGAGGAAGCTTTTAACATATTACGTTTACGACAATCACGTCGGCTCCAACGAATCTGGGCTTCGACTAACAGTTAGTCTCAAAAGAAGGCTGGTGCGGATAAACCTGCAGGAGCATAGCTGGGCACTTACGTTGTATGGGTTATGGCGATTAATGAACTGCTGCAGACGTTGGAGGAGGAGGGTGGCTCTAAAGTCACTGCGTATGCCGATGACCTTGCGATGGTTGTGTGTGAAAAATTTCCACAAGCACTGACTGATATCCTGCAAGGTTATCCAAGATTAATTGAAAAATTACTAAGCAGAAAGGCCTCTGAGGAAATCCTGGCAAAACTGACCTGGTGCTTTTCACTAGGAAGAACAAGATCCCCACACTACATCGTCCTCACTACAGAATCCGCAAAATACTTAGAAATAAATGGTACTGGACGAAAACTACATCCGGTAAAAGAGTTGAGAGAGAGCGTATGAAGAGAGAGAGCAGGTAAAGAAAGCCATATTGCCATAAAGAAACGTTTGGATGGAGCTGGGAATTGCGCCCTACCCTCACGGTATACAATTTCTATTCCAGGTAGAGAATTTCGGTCAGGAGGGACTAGGAGGTGGAGTCTTCTCGGCACAGTTGGGGCTGAGAAAATCATTTCGCCCTTCAAACTTAGGTTTCTGCAATACAAAAGGCGGGAGCACTTACGAACAGAAGAAGTCATGTGTAACAACATCTTCATCTAGTCAGACATTCAAGTGGCACTCAAAGCACATGCCTCGGTCATATGCAACTCAAAAACCATAACGGACTGCCGCAGATCTCTAAGCGGGATGGCTGAGCAATGTGTTCCTCACATGGAATGGGTGAAAGTAAAAGTAATGCGGTCGAAATTGCAAGATGGCATGTCGCTCGCTACCTACAGGCTCATTCTAAGGGATCCTTGTATGTGTCTATTAATCTAGCCGGAGACAGATGGACAAGTTTCACCACTTGCAGCAAGACGAAAGTGATGTGGCCGAAATGGAATGGGAAATGGGCGACTGGTGTCCTCACTCTGGGTAGAAGGGAAATAACAAAACCCATGGACCCTTATAACAGGCTATTTTGCCACCGGAAGACATGCGGAGAGTTTGGGAGTTCCCCATAAAGACTACTGCAGAAGAGCGAAAAACCTTGCAACACGTGTTATGCGAATGTCCCGCATTTTGTAGAAGAAGAAGGAAGGTTTAAACCGACATAGCTAGGGTTGGAATATCACAGCTATTAGATATCTCAGACTTCACATGATGGTTTGAGTAGAAGGGTTCTCAACGTGCCCATAAAAAGGGGCCTAGGTGTACTAGTGGGGTCACTGTCAGCCACTTCAACCTAACCTAATTTACATAATCGATGCATCCATGCTGATTTTAAGTGAAAATTTTCAATTGGCGAAATGCCCGAAAAGGTGACAAAAAATTTTCTTATGGTGTTTTCGTTTCTACAAAAAATGTTGCCTTCTCATTGCCCTCTTCTTAGTATTTGTGCTTAGAGGGCAAAGAGAAGGTAAACATTTTTGGTAGAAACGAAAACGCCATTAATATTTTGTCACAAATGAGCCCATTTAAGAGTACTTAATTTAATCGAATTCCAACAAGCATCTAAATTTTAATTGATGCCTAGCAAATGTATTAGATTGGTCCTCATAAATGGCATGTTTTTCACATTTCAAAATAAACAAGCGCATAAAACCGGCTTTAATGGTAAATTCTTGATTAAAAACTTTCTTACTATTAAACTTTTTTTTTTTAATTTTTATTCCCGTATCTTCATACATACATATTTATGTACATGACTACAAATATAATTGCTACCATACCAGTGATAAGCTGCGGTACCGCTAGTCAATCTCCTACCCACCGGTTGACCTCCAAATCGAGCACGTAGCTCGTCTGCTCGATTGGCTCGTGAAACGCGTGTTTATGAATTCGAAAGGTATTTACCACAAACTATTCAGATTAGCAGATTATAAACATTTTGGAGTTGGCTTTTAGCCTTTCCATTAGCGGTAAACAAACACATACATATGTATCTGGCTGCTGAGCAAAAGAAACCAACTGGCCACTTGTTGCATATCTTTCTTTTTGTTTTTGTTTTTATTTGTATTATCGCTTTATGCTTATAAATATGTATTTTTTTTCTCTTTTATTGCTTGTATATTTATTTATTTTTCAGTTCCGTTTTCATTTGTTGGTGGTCGTTGGTACTTTCATTGCCGCTC